CTGCTGCCTTATAGAATTAATTCAGCAACTAACTGTAGAAAAGAAGCCAATAAAATAGGAATGCTAAAAACAAATATTATAAACTATCGTGGACAATGGCAAATCTATACTTTGAAAATATTTGCGTGATTTTATTTATGCTCTCCAATTTAGCTGTGGGTAACTCAATGAATTTGCAGGAGTTGGCGCAGCTTTGCCGTGAAGAAATGAAACTGTTCCTCAATTTGCGAGCGATGGTAAAAACTGACGAAATTTCAGCTAACTAAAAATGTCCTTTAAAAGTTCTGATTTCAAGAATTATTCTGCCACAAGCGCAATGCGAGGTGCGACGCAATGCGACGTGATGATGAGTTATAACTCATGAACTCACAGAGCGGCATCAACTCAAAAGCGCAACTCAACACAGTATCACCCAGGCCTATCTCAAGATAACTTAACCAAAAATTTAAAGAAAAGACGTTTCTATAAATGTTTAATAAAAAAGCACAGTGGCGACCATGTATCAAGGCAGGTAATACGTCAATGTTACATTTATGGTTAGTTTTTAAATTGTGCTCTTCAAAACAAGCAATGTACAACGATGTCGAAAATACGCTTCTTTTACATTCCTTCGGAAGAACTACATCAGTTAAATTTTCTACACAGTAGGGGCGCGGAACCAGAGAATTAGGTATTAAAAGCAGTTTTGTTCTACTGAGAAAGTGATAATAGTCAATAAACGTAAAAATTAAGATAACTGCTGAAAGCTGGAGTCATTATCGCAATTATAACCAACAATTAAACCTATTTTCAGTTTGATCTTCAGGAGCAAACGCTAAAGCAGTCATGGAAGACACACTTAAACGCTTCGACTATATTTTTTTAATGTTCGGGGGATATTCTTGTAAAATTATACCTAAAAACGTCCAACGGTTTCTCCCAAAAATTCACCCATTTTCACCACAATCATTGCTTCAATATAAAACGGCGTTCTCTATTATCGATAAACATGGGAGATTACACGCTTTGAACTCTAAATTTTTATACAGCTGCTTTGTTGTTTCAATTGTAAGACTTTGGATTCTTCTCACAATAAACTTGAATGAATAGTTCCATCAGTAAAAGTATATACTTTTTCCTAGTTTCATTTATCATCTTTGTTGATTTAAACATAAGCCTAGAAATCTTTGCATAGTGAAAAACGTTGTTTCCAAATAGAGGACTTACATGTATGCAAATCTGTTCGATTTTAGTTCGAATTATACTTTCACTATTTTTATTCTAATCCCCAAATATTTCTAGACATACGGATCCCTAAAATTGTCATAGATCCAGGAAAATAATACAAATTTTTTCAAGTCAAAGAAGTAAAATATGCAAGACAGAGAAGAAATTTCTTATAAAACAAATGAATCGAACTGAAAATTAAAAATCAGCGACCAGTCTAACACTCAGCGAACGTTCAGTGTGGAATTAAATTCAATATAAGGTAGAATATGAGCGTAAGCAAGGAAAACAACATGTTTAAGTACAAGTTTAGTACAAGCGAGAAGTACTGTCTAATATTTCATCTTTTTAAAACAATCAAATTTTAGATATAAATTTCTTGATGGGAACAGTATGACGCCGATACCACACACACAGACACACATAACAAATCACTTGCTGTCTCTGTTTTAATTTAAGTCATTACGAATTTCTTGTTTTGGGCCCTCGTTAAGGGTAGTTTCTCGTCCCCCTTTGGGAAAGAGCCACGTTGCACAGATCCTTTTCTCTGTCCCTAAATGTTTTCGTACGTGCTCGGTCGAATATGTCACATACGCACGCGAGCCCTAACTTTGCATGTTGGTTTCACTCCAGAAGGGGGTTGTTTCTCCAAAAATCTACCATAAGTAATTGCTTAAGACTTTAAATCATCTGAGAGCGCAGGCAGGACGCAAAATATATTGTCTCAATAAGAAGCCAAATCAGAACGAAACTAGGAAACATTAATTTCTAAGAAATAAATGAAGATCTTGTTGTAAAGTGCTTGTTCAATCGGAGCACTTTAGTAAAATAGTAAAATTTAAGATGAAGGTTACTAGGCACATATTTGTTCATCATACTAAAATTTCATTCATTGAAGTAAGGTATTAACAAACTATGGTATTGTGATTACAATTCGCTGTTGTTCCCAAATTGATTCGCTTCTAGAAGAAGAACCCTTGATATATTTCGTGACTATGTATATAAGACCTATTCTCCAAACTTAATAGGAATTTTGATCGTTTAATTGTTTACATGATTTGTGTGATGGCTGCAAGGGTCGTTCCATACTTTTTCTGTTCTTTTCTATTATTCTGGTGGCTTTGGCCCTTTAATTCGGCAGTTATGCAAATTTTAGGCAAATGTAGAGTTGATCGCCTTTCTATTAGTGCGATTGATAATCGACAGATTTATGTTACATTTTATTGTTTCTTTTGAATTAAAGCGCAAATGATTTATTGTTTAAAGTTATTGCGTTATAAAATACTTCAATTTTTTTAATAATTATTATATGGATTTTATGTGCAATTTATATTGCTTAGATTAAATATTGGCCACGTTTAGTGCCAATTTACAAGTATACTTACAGCAATGCTTATTACTTCTGTATGCTTCAATAAACGGCATTCGGAAAGTGGAAGGTGTCTTAATGAATATAGAGTTTCAGACTGAATAAATCCAAAGGATGGTGATCAAACACTAAATTTTCGTCTAAACTGCGTTTGGAATTGAACCTTTAATTGCCGTTTATTTATTACGCGATATATACAAGAGGTTGCTTCAGTGCCTACTTCTTTTAAAAATTTATAAAAAAATGCATAAAATTCGCTAGTAAAGATTTTTCGCATTAAAATGAGATATAAAATCACCTTTTCTTGAAGTTTAGTTACGTGCATACCTACATACATTAGTGCATTTTACAAATACCAATACGCTTTGAAATAAGTAGATACCACAACTACGCCACTAATTAAAACAAGTATATAATACCATACGAATGTAAATTACACCGCATAGGAAATGTAAATCTTGTCTACAATCAACACTGGATTTAAGTTAGTTAGTTAACTCTATTCTCTAATTTCGTTTGAGCCTTCGTTCAGCGACTTTTTCAAAATATTCGTTCATGTAAATAATGTGAAATTTAAACGTGGAAGCCTTCAATATAGGTTCTAATTAGATATGGCAAAATTATTATTATTACAACAAATAAGAGCATTATTTGACTCAAGTAATACGTCTAGGTTGGAAGCAGACCTAGGTATGTTCTTTGTTCCATGAAAAATATGAAAAATATCAAATAAGCTCTAATGTTTTCTGAATTAATACAGTTAGACTTAATAAATTAATCATTTATGACCCACGATTAATATCGATATCCACTGCTGCTCTACAAACAGACATTTTGAACACTTAATATAATTTTATTTGAAATTCGTTGTTTTCTGCTTGACTTCCGATAACTTTGAATAGCAATAATAAATCTTGGAAATATATTTCAATATTTTAATAATATCAACTACGTATCGTCGTAAGTCGTTAGAAACTGAATTAAAAAAAAACTTAAATAAAAAATGTTTTTCCATAATTAGAAACTCTCATAACTCAACGCCCTTTAATCTCCAAACCACAACAATGAAAACAAATGATTCTAGGATAGTTTTGTAAAAATATGTTGCGAATTTATTAAAGAAATAAGTAATTTAACATGATACTCGAAAAAGGTATCAATAATAACACCTGACCAAAAAATTGCTAATATTCCACTAGATCAGTTCTCGTTAAACGCATAGAGGATTATTTATTATCTTATTTCTTCTCGGTATCTAGAATTTCTGAAAGAAAATACTTGACTTTTTGCAATACCGATAAATTTAAATTCAGTTTCCTAATAATGAAATTATCAAATTTTGATTTAAAAAATTAAAAATTTGAAATTTGTTTTTGCTCGGAGCCATGCGATTTGAAACGACACACAAGCAATAGACAGGAATAGATATTTCTAGATTCATCAAAATAATGGGCACCTGCCTAATTCTCAGAATTCATCTTCCCAAATATTTGTTCTGTGAAACCTGCACATTTTCCTTGTTTCCTTTGTTGCTAATCAGGAAGTGTATGACCTGTACTTTTTGCAACTTTTCTTTCCAGTTGTTATTAATATTATTATTATTATCTAGAGAATAAATAATTCATCCACAGATAATCAAACAAATCAACTGGCAGCAACTTTAAGTAATGAAAACTAAGAACCACAATAACATAATTTTCAATATCGGTTAGAATTTATTTCGGTCAAAATAAACGTTTGGGATTTTTTTACTTTGATGCACAAAACGCAGTTAATAAAATCATTGCCGGAGAATTTTATAGACATTTCACGATACAATATTATTTGAAAGAAATTTACCATATTTTAAATCATATGATGATTATAAAAAAAATTGATCGAAAAGAAGAGGGCTTGACGCTAGATATTTTCTTTTTATTTACACATTTTAAAGTATTTAAAGATCAAGTAGCAAACAATTCAGTGCCATCAATTCGCAGTAAATATCTAAAGGTTACTAGAACGCAACTATCTGTTTATTGGAAGCATTCGTTTGAATTGCTATCGGAAAATTTTCATCAAATATTTAAATCGCAGTATCCATTAATTTTTTATCACAAATTTCAATAGATTGAATTTAGCGTTATTGTTCGATATTTGTTGTAATTCGCTTTAATAGTTTGCTAAATCTAGTACGTTTTGAGGAGCCTGAATGTAACACATTTGATGTTAGCGCAAAGAAGCAAATAAAGCAATTTCTTTGTTGGGTGTAATTCGCTTTTTGCTAAATGTGCGTTGCATTTGATTCTTCTAATTTAATACCCGTTTTTCGTGTACTTCCTAGATTATTTATGAGATGAGCAGCATTTCCACATCGCAGGGCATATACTTTTTTCTATGCTCTATGTAAATTCGAGTCTGACGACTAACTAAATGTTTGTTTCAGAAATTCAAAATTCCATTTCAAAAAACATAAGAAGGGACTGAAAGAAACAAAAATGAACGAGCAGGATATGACCATGACAGAATCGCATTATTCATTGCGCTGGAACAACCATCAGTCGCACATTTTGGCATCCTTCGAGGCCTTACTAGAAGCAGAAACCCTAGTTGATGTAACATTGGTGTGCGCCGACACTTCCATTAGAGCCCACAAAGTGGTGTTGAGCGCCTGTAGTACCCTTTTCCAGAGAATATTTTTGGACCATCCTTGCAAACATCCCGTAATTATTCTGAGTGATTTTAGTGGGTGAGTTACTCAGCTAAATAATTAGATGGACACCTCTTTCACCATGATGGAAAAATGAGGAAAAAAATATTTCACCAAAATGTTACAGCTCATTACCGAGTAGTTGAAATACATTTTCTTTATTTTTCAGTTGGGTAATTCAAGCGATCGTGGCCTTCATTTATAAAGGTGAAGTAAATGTTTTGCAAGACCAATTGCAAGCTCTGATAAAAGCTGCTGAGAGCCTTCAAATTCGCGGATTGGCCAATCAGGATCAATATAGTGCAGATAAAGAGTCCACCAGCATAATAAATCAAACTCCAACTCCATCCACATCGCCAAATGACTACGATAAATATCACTATAATAATATTCCAAGCAAATTTCCCAGTTCGGGCCGGCATACAGGGAAGAAGCTTTTAGATGAGTTACCGTCACCCTTTTCACCGATCCCAAATAACTTCGATTGCGCTCAAGTGAAGTTACCTCATATGTCGAAGCTGTCTTTTCCCGAAGCGCTCATGCCCAGGTCCGAATCGCCAACACCGAGAAGAAAACAAGCAAGGTGAGATCTGAAACCGCTATATACTTACCAAATTTTATCATATATAAATCGTCAGTAAAAACTAGTAATGTAAGTAATGCAATAAGTTTACTTGCAATTACAACATTAGCAATTTGAAGATTAGACCGAAAGCCTGGCAAACTACTGAGACTGTATCTTTTATTTAGGCCACGAAGACGTTCGGGAGATTTAAGTATGCACAGAGAGTTAAATTGCACTTCGATCGATTTGAAACCACCATCACCCTCACACTCGGAAGAAACGGCCGAAGATCTTTGTATGAAAAAAAGCGAAGATCACGCCACAGTGAAGGAAGAGGAACGGAAATCATGCACCCCGGAAATGTCAGTGCGTAGTCCGGAACTGGACATGAGCACCCAAAGCAGCGGCAAAGAGTTCCGTTCTTCACCTGTTTCTGCACCCCAACCCACGACCAACATGAAGCAGGAGATTAATAATCCGTCGCCGTTGCCATATCCGCCTATGCCCACAACTTCAACGCTTGCTCTGACGCCTCCGCCCAATAAATGTAAGTATTCAATTATTAGTTACAAGAGTGGTACGAAGAACACGGCTGACAGCGCACAGTACCGTACTTTTCATAGGCACGTGCCCGATAACATCTGCCCGAAGGATTCATTCGATTTGCTATGAAATTATTCTAAACGTTCAGTGTCAAGTGATAGAAAGCTTCATCACGTGGTTGCTTCTACAATAACTTAAAAAAAAGTCGGATACTTTAAGCACCCATAAGAGAACGCAGCGGAGTTAGTTATTAAGTAGTGGCGAATTCAGCTTTCAAGTCAAGGGCGGTCATGTACTAGAAATTCTGTCTGATAAAAATGTCTTTTATTGCCCATGAAATTAGAAAAAATATCGTTAGTCGGTATCGTTGGACAGAAAATTGAAAATTCGATTCAGTCACAACAACACGAGTGAGGAAATTCGAGTGGTTTTAACCCGGAAAGCAAAATTTGAGTATCAGACACTGAGGTGCAAAATTATGCCAAAAATTCATGTTTTCCATCGCGTTTTTGCTCGTTTCTCGGAAGCAAAATGAACAAGAACGCTCATTTTGACATTATTCAGGCAGAACTAAATCGCTTTTTCAAAAATGGAACCATCGATAACGAAATATGGGCAGTTTTCACAAAAAAGTCTTAATTTCAAAAAGTTTTAGATTTGCGTGTTTTTTTTGAGCTGCAAAATCGACTCCAACATAACGCTGCTTTTTTTCGAAGTTTCTCAAGAACCATTTGAGCCACCGAATTCGTTTTGGCATCGTTGGATACAGAATTGAAAAGTCGATTCAGTCGTATCAACGTAAGTGAGGAAATTCGAGTAGTTTTGACCCAGAAAGGGAAATTCCAATATCAGACACTTCAGATTATGCCAAAATTTCATGTTTTCCGTCCCGTTTTTGGTCATATCTCGGAGGCAAAATAAGCAAGAACGCTCATTTGTACATCATTCTAGAGAAAAATAAATGGCCTTTTTAGAAAGTGAACCATGGATGGGGAAATGTTGGCAGTTTTCTCAAAAAAATGCTTGAATTCAAGAGGTTTCAGATTTGCGTGAGTTTTTTTTTGAGTTGCAAAATCCACTTGAACATGACGCTGCTTTTTCCGAAGTTTCTCAAGAACCATTCTAGCCACAGAATTCGTTTTGGCATCGTTGGATAGAGAATTGAAAAGTCGATTCAGTCGTAATGACGTGAGTGATGAAATTCGAATAGTTTTAACCCAGAAAGCGAAATTTGAATAGCATACACTTAGGTGCAATATTATGCCAAAATTTCATGTTTTCAGTACCGTTTTTGCTCATATCTCGAAGGCAAAATGAGCAAGAACGCTCATTTGTACATCATTCTAGAGAAAAATAAATGGCCTTTTTAGAAAGTGAACCATGGATGGGCAAATGTTGGCAGTTTTCTCAAAAAATGCTTGAATTCAAGAGGTTTCAGATTTGCGTGGTTTTTTTTTTTTAATTGCAAAATCCACTTGAACATGACGCTGGGTTTTCCGAAGTTTCTCAAGAATCATTCGAGTCAGCCATCAACACACGAGTGATGAAATTCGAATAGTTTTGACCCCCAAAAAGCGAAATTTCAATATCAGACACTGAGGTGCAAGATTATGTCAAAATTTCATACTTTCCGTCCCGTTTTTGCTCGTTTCTCAGAAGCAAAATGAGCAACAGCGCTTATTTTTACATGATTCGAAAGAGAACTAATTGGCCTGTTTAAAAAGTGAGCCATCGATAAGGAAATATTGGCAATTTTCTCAAAAACGTCTTGATTTTATGAAATTTTAGATTTGCGTGTATTTTTTGAGTTGCAAAATCCACTTGAACGTGACGCTGCTTTTTTCGAAGTTTCTCAAGAACCATTCGAGCCACAACTCGTTTTGGCATCGTTGGATAGAGAATTGAAAATTCCATTTAGTCGTAACAACGTTAGTGAGGAAATTCGAGTAGTTTTGGCCCAGAAAGCGAAATTTGAATTTTACATGATTCGAAAGAGAACAGCGCTTATTTTTACATGATTCGAAAGAGAACTAAATGGCCTTTTTAAAAAGTGATCCATCGATAAGGAAATATTGGCAATTTTCTCAAAAAAGTCTTGAATTTATGAAATTTTAGATTTGCGTGTATTTTTTTGAGTTGCAAAATCGACTCAAATGACGCTGCTTCTTTCGAACTTTGTTCGAGAACCATTTGAGTCCCAGAAGTCGTTTTGGTATCGTTGGATAGAGAATCGAAAATTTAGTTAAGCCATAAAAGAGGTTGAGCCGCGGCGGATCCAGCTTTCAATTCATGTAGTAGAAATTCAACATTTCGTTGTTTATGAAATTAGAAAAACTATTTTTTGTATGTTATTGTTGACATAAACCCAACACAAGGGGGGGGGGGGTCGTGACCCCCATGACCCTCTTTGGGTCCGCCCTTGATTTCAAGTCTGGTGAAAATATAAAAAGTATTCAACCGTAAGGAATATTTGTTCAATCAACAGAAGACTTAAAATAGAATTTCTTTCAATGGGGCTTGAAAAAACATACCAGTTTCAAGCAATGGCCGTGAAAGCCTAACTTAATAATTAAATTACCAATGAAACAAAAAGCTCCGGACTAAAACAATCTACAATTTTTATCTAGAAGCAAAAAGTAGAGAGTGTTTAATGCACTTTTTAGGAGTAGTTCGCAAGGTATTTAAAATCGTACTTTAGAGTTACAATTTTTTACAGGTCTTAAGGAAATTAAAAATGAATGAGCGTTATTAATTGATATATTTTTTATTAATCATTCAATTCTTGCATTTGATAATTTTGTAATGATCTGTTAGAATAATCGCCGAAATTGCAATAGCAATAATATGAAAATTCGGGTGTAAAAAAAACTTACGGAAATACCCAATTAAAACAACGAAGCAACAATAAAAAACTTCAGCCATTTTCAGCCCATGTAATCTAAACCATGATATAAATTACAGTAAAAAAGCTATAAACGGAACTCTATGCAAATGAAATAAAACTTACTTTTGAAGAACTAAATTAACTTATGCACATACCTAAGAGATTAAGTAGTTAACTCATTAGATTCATTGTTGGCTGCTATCTAATTGTTTCAAAATTTTAGACCACAAATCAATAGACAACCGATTGTCGTTGCTTTGTAATTAGAGTTAATTTGATAATATTGAAAATTAGCATGTGAATAATCACTTAGTCAGGTGAGCATGGTCGGACTGAAATCGGCATCGTGCTTCTTAGATGCATGTTTTTTCACCATCAGCATTCAAACTACTTCAGATCCACATTCAAGTTCACTTGTCCGAGCTTTGGCCGGTTGCGATGACTTGCCAGAACTAGCGGCGGCTGTCGACTTGTCCGCATAAACCAAAACAAAAGGATGCCAGCAGCGAGAACGATTTTTAAACATAATCTTAACTTTTTAAAACTCTTGTTAACATCGCACCATTAATAGTTTATGCAAATGTACGTACGGCTCGCGCGATAATTGCTGACCGAACAAGCCATGACTCACCTACCAATTTTTAATAGCGAGCACAGGGAGGGATTCTGAGAGGTTCAATGTTGAATGGCACATTTGGAGTTATTGACTAAACGGAAAACTAGATGCTTCTCAACTTCATATAAAAGCATTCGATGTCTAAATATTCGGAAAGTTTCCACTTGTAAGTAATAGGAAACAGTACTTTTCAGAAAGTAAGCTTTGGAAAACCAGTGCTGTTGTATACATACAAAATTGGCAAGATCACTTAAGACGTGAATCTATAATGTTTTCTGTACAAGATTATTTTATCACTCTTAACTAAAACCAGCCTTTTTATTCTGAAGAATATTTTTTGAAAAAGTTAAAAACATTTTTCGTTTAAAGCTTGAAAATATGGTACAGGCCATACCGACAGACTTTAAGAAATCATTATAAAATTCGAAACCACATAATGTCCGCAAAAGTATCTCAGTATTCAACATGCTTTCTTTCGTAACCGCCCAGTTTAGAACAATTGTCGTTTTCTACTCATTGAAGGTAAATAAGTTAAACAAGAACAATGACTTAGATAAATAAACAATATTTGTTCATCACACAGATACAGTAAGCAATCAATAATTGTAGATATTGCTAATAGCAAAGAGGAAATTGCATCTGCAAGAGCTACTTGATACCGACCAACAACCGATACTAATCAACTACTCATTAACGCTATTCAATGAAAGAGTTGTTTTAACAAGACAAGGGGGTTAATATAATTGCGTGTGAGAGAGCACGATCATGTTGCTCAAATTAAATAATAAATCAGAATGGACTGAGTCGATATGTTATTCTATTTTGCGGGCAGTTTTCCATCATTTATTGCAACACGAGGGGATTATTTAGTACTATATTAGTTTTTTGGTAATGAGCAATACTTTAATTATGTTATATTTAAATATGCTGGCTTCTTATTGTTCAACATTAAAAATGAAAAAATTCTGCTGTCGTATTTTTGAGTTACGGAAACGTTTTCTTCGAATTGTTTTTCTTTAACCAATACTTAAAGTTAAACATATACTATATTTTTTACTTGTAATCCTTGACCGCTATCTGGATTTCAGCAATAAATAATAAAACAGGCTGAAATAAATCTAGACGATATTCAAATAACAATATGTCGCTCAGAAATCTGCTAAATTATTATATTTTTTCCATAATTCTACTGTAGGTATCCATAAATAAATAAGCTATTCGCTACAAAGTACACATTGGAACAGTTCTGTCCCAAATCATAAAAAATTCAAGCTAGCTTACATGGCATCCAAAGAAAGATCCCGTGTGATTTAACACTTGCTTTGCTTTATGTACGTAATGATATACCCGTAATTTATATTTGAATATTAAATATGAAAGTCGACCATTAGATATGCATGCACGGAGCCAGCATTTCTAATTATTAGGTAAGGTATTTCGATTATTGATTCAAAAGGTTTAGAAAATGAAATAGTTTTCGAGGTATAAATCGGGATATCCTGGTGAAAAAGAATTATTGACATCCTGTGAAATACTGAAAACGCGTTGGAACGACGTGTCGGAACAGTTGTAATAAATAATGAAAGTATGAAAAGTTCTATAATATTAAATAAGTTTCCACAAATTTTGAAGCAATGTACCAATCCGTTTGGACGTTTTCACCAATTCTGATTGAAATCTTTAGACAAACAATCCAAAAGCTTCCAGTGTTTAACTCCTTGACTAAAACAATTAAATTTTTTTAGTTAACTTCTTGATATCAAAATGCTTTTTATTCTTATCAAAAATCCTTTGTCTATAATGTCTATTTGTCTATAATTTCCCTCTTTAATAATAACTATAATTATATACACAGACATTTAATTATTTCTTTCCTTTTCAGATTTTGGATTAGATTCACCCTTAGGGTTTTTTCCCCACGGCTATGAGGGTTGCAGAAGTTCTCTCTTCGACTTCCCCGACAATAGAAATATAGACGCTCCCTCGTTCGTAAAAAAGAAAAGTAAGTTGAAAATGGTCTAACAGATTTTTAACCATCATTTTCATCTCCAAATGTGCGCCATTTATTTGAAAAATCATGTTTAAGGAGGCAGATAACAAATTTGAAACTAACATTTTTCAAAAAATTATTTAAAAAATGAAGAACTGTGCACATATAAAATAGAACAACAGTGGAATTAATGCTGCAGAAACATGCTTACAAACAATTTGCCTTCATAGAAAACTGGGCAGTATTCAGACTTAGTAGTAGGTAAACATAGTAGTTAGACGGTTATATTATATACAATACTTTCGTTTCTCTCTGTATCCTCCACCTTAGTTACTTACTTAGTACAGTTTTCATCCTAATGTTAGAAGTACTAATCTGTCAAAAACTATTTGAAACCATTATGTTTGTATGTACTTGTTCCAAGTCGATATCCCTCACCGTTTTTAGATTTCAAGTTATGCCACATTTCGCACTAAATTTTAATTTTTCAGCTTAGTTATTTAGTCAACTTGGTATAATTTATGCGAAGTTCTGATCGCAACAACGCATTTTCGTACATCATAACATAAACCCAATGAATACATTTTGAGAGTGATCTCTATTAATTATCTTAACAATTTTTTACTTTCTTCTCGAATCGCGAATGTTAACTAATTTTTATCAAATAGAATGCGAAAATATAGATGACAATAAGAGAGGTGAACAAACTGAACTGAACGGAATATCAAACATTTATGCGTTCATTTCTTAAATTGAATATCTCTAATTAAACAGCAGATTTTGTCAACATTTTTTTCGCAATAGTTTTTTTGAAATATTAAGCGTCCCAGTTATGCCATAACTTATTGATATATTTTGTTACGAAAAAGATACAACAGTGGCAACGAAAAAGCTGCGAAACGAATATAAGTTTCCTCTTTTCAGTCATAGTGATCACGTGAAACCGTTGTATTAAAAAAATTACATCAAATCAGTTCAAATCTACCTCTATCCTACAACAGTGAAGAACTCCAATTCACTATGGAAGTTGTTCAATTTACAAAATTGTAAAGAATTACCGCATTATTCCAAAATCAATTTTGGGTTTATTACAGTGGGTAGACCGAAAGGACAACATTCTGCACCAAGAGGCGGCCCTCCCAGATCATGGACCAACAATGAACTGACTGAAGCTCTGGGTCAAGTGTGGAAGAAGAGGATGACGACCAGTCAAGCCTCAAGAATCTACGGGATCCCGTATAATTCTCTTCTGATGTACGTAAGAGGAAAATATGGAAAAAGTCTGAAGCTAGAGCAGCTTCGGAGAGACTGCTTAAGTTTTGCGGAGGGTGCTGTGGAGATACTAGGCAATATCGGAAATAATAATAATTTGACGAAGGGGAGTGAGAGAGACCAAGAGCCCGTTCATCCAAATGTTAGGCCGCCTGTGAACGAACATGATCAACATCAAGTAAGTAGCTTTTGGTATATTTTCTGTCGTCAGAAACTAGAAGAAATAATTTGGAGCCACTATATCCGCTATGCGACACATTTGAACTATAGTGAGCTGTTGAGTGTAAATGTCGGGTAAAACAGACTTAGAGAACAGATATTAAGAGTTCATCTTCTTCGTCAGATGAAATACTGACAAATTTTCAGTCAACAATTCGAGCGATAAGGGAAGTCGGTGAAAACGATTGTGTGGAAACTCGATGAAGTGCCTTAAAAGTCAAAGATGGTTTCATGGAATGCTGCATGCAGTTCTTATGAAAGTTATTGCATGTTGCATTATTGCACGAAAAAAAATGCGTTAAGTAAAATTTATGTAGGTAATCGTTTAATTTCCAATGCGAAGTTAACGAATTTATTTTCTCAAGGCGTTTTCATGAGCAATCTCTTCCTACTGCAATGCGTCATCACACCATTGGGTGGGACTTCCAAATGTATTAGTTTTCTATTTTATTTCGTTAGAATCCTGTAAATAATTTTTGGGTTTTTAAGTACTTTTGAAATTAATTAATTTTTCAATAATTTTTGGTTTTCATGTACTACTAACTAATTAATTTTTATCAAGTTATTATTCAAAAAATAGTGCGTCTATCCCTAATCAAATCAAATCAAAATCATCAAATTTTGACGCTTATTTATTGAAGTCCATAGCCACCTTACAAAATGTAACAACTTTTTGAATTTTTTAAATAAAATAAATTATAATTTGAAAACGGTTGATTTCACGGTTTAAAGTGTAAATGCAAATTTGTAACTTTATAAATTGTATATCTAATGACTTATTAATATACAGGTACTTCCATTTGAGAACAAAAGTTATATTGAGTTAAAAAGTTTTAGATTTAAGTCCACATTGTTAACACACTGTACAACATTGTATTGATTTTTGGTTCAATAGAATTCTTAACGTTTACCTCAACATCTTGAGTTAACTATTGTGTTTTTTTCTTTCAGATGTTTCATCCCTTTAATCACAATTATTATCCGGATTTTGGCACTGGTTTCCGTCTCCCACTAAACATGATCCATTTATTGCCTCAAGCTGGCGATAAAAATCGTACGGAACACAATGCGTATGGGCAAACGGCATTGCACGATGAAGAACTGTCCAAGTCACATCAAGGACGAGACATTGAAGAAGATCCCCCTATTCAGGACCTTTATAGACCGCCAACACTAAATCTGGACGATAGGCGGGAATTAGTGCAACAAAATGGACAGGATTAAAGTTTTCCGGTATGTGTTAAGTAATGTTAGTCTGTAAGTAGGGGTCTTAACAAAGCAGAATTTTATCCGAATCGGTAATTAAGTTAGTAACGTTTTTTTTATTTAAAATTTTGAATAAGGATATTATTTATAAAATACTTGCCGGAACATGGCGAGAGCACGGTAAAAATGATTTAGCCCGTTGGCAACTATTATGGATAATATCCTTCAAAATATTTATGTTTGGCATTTTCCTGGTCAGACGGTCAGAGCGTAAAAACTTCAGAATGGTTTATCAAGTTAAGGTTGTCTAAAATTCTGCTACACAATAGTTAAGTGATACAACCATTGATTTGGGGCAATACTTTTAGACATAGCGAATTCTAATTGAAAGAGGCGTTGAGGAATCTTTGTTGTTGTATATTTAATTTAAAAAGTGAATGTGGTTAAAAATGTTAAGTTTCTAGATTAAGACGTTTGTGCTTCCTGTGTTTTAATTGTTGTGTTAGTTGATTTTAAATATTGTTTTGTGATATACGAAAATTTACCAGGTATTCAAGATTTTAATGAGAATGTTAAATTCTATTTTTCGTAAATCGAAATATGATTATTCTTGAATACTTACAAATTGAAAAATAACGTAGTAGGTATTCAAACTTTTATAAAAGCTGGATATTTTCTACTTTGATGGTTCAAAATTTTTCAAAACTGCGTTAACGTTAAATAAATCCCGTTATTTCGGGTTGAGGGAACGGATTGGAATGGTCAAACGATTTCCATAGAGGTCATTCCACATTAATGATCCTTACTATACAAAAATACCTACAATTGTGGGCATTAAAAAAATTATTCTTCTGAGTAAATCGTTAGAACGTAAAAAAATTACAAGTTTAATTGGTTTAGTTACAAGATGGGTGTTTAATGAGTTAACATAAGTTCTATCACATTTAATTCTAGATAGGCATTTGGCCTAAAATTCACCTTTTAATATTGGAAAGATAACTACAAATTTCAGTTGTACAGGCATATAATATATAATATAATAACAAAAAGTGTTTAAAACTGGCCAAACATATGACAAAGTATGATGATATATGCTGATATTTAACAAAAACAGTTCAAACACATGCTAAGTTAAAATGTAATCCGCAGTGTTTCGCAGGTAAATAATTTACTGGATCATTTATTTAATTTTTTTAAATGTAATATACAGGGTGGTCCTGAACCAACAAGGAAAAAATTCACTGACATATAGCATAGACAAAAATATTGCGTTTTGGGAAAACTTATCGGAAAGGTAATAGTTTCTGAGATACAGGGTGTCAAAGTGTACATTAAATTTTCGTTGATTTCTAATAGATTCTTAACCAGTTTTACGTTTTAAGTGTTTTAAAACAAAGTTCAAATTTTTCTTTACGTAGCTTGTAGATCCTCGAGGGCGTAGCTGCAATAGTCTCGAGCCATTGTAAGCATCGGCAAATTTTTTGGGTTTTAAAATGTCGCTTTTTTGTTGGTTATATTTCGTTTTACGCTATTTCCTAAAAAATTGGTTAAGGATCTATTAAAAATAAACAAAAATTTTACACTTTGTCACCCTGTATCTCGAAAACTATTAATTTTCATGTTTGCCTAAAACGCAATATTTTTGTCTAGACCATAAATCAGTCAGTGAATTTTGTCCCATTAGTTAAGGACCACCCTGTATATGTTTGACCAACACTCAAATAATAAATAAAAATGTCCACAGAAAGCATTTCCAGGCTTATAAGCCTTTTTATAAATTTTTTTCTGATGATTGGACATCTGAGTGAGACACAGAAGACAGCGTCAAGCTTTACCTCATCGTCTCTGATAATGTTATCTGCAGATATAACCGAAACGTCGGGAGCAATTCCAATTGTCCACCGCTGATAACCCCGGAAAACTTTTCAACCGGTACTTCATGATATAATACGATGACCATGTTTAATTATCAACCAAAATATGATTTAATTTGAATTTGAATTGAATTTTGATTAACATGGAAATGGCTTGTTCTATTTCGTTCACTCAAGATGTGAATCAGAAAAATGTTTTCGTAATATTAAGCACAGTTATTCCTGCCACTTATGAATGTGGTTCCAATGACTCATTGAATGAAAACAATAGAAAATAGTTGTTTTTGACTTGATATTTCGGTAAACGGTTTTGTGCAATAAATTATCTTGGATACCTGTCAAATTCAGCATCGACACGTAAGAAATGCTTTTGTAAACTTTTATCTAATAATCGAATCATTTAAATTTTCTATCAAATTCCGATAAATTTGTACATAACGCAAAAATCGAAATTATATCGGAATTTGGTTTTATAAGACTGATGTATCATTATGCCAAGATGTTCCGACTACAAGCATACTACAACTACAATTTTATTTTTTAATACTAACACTATATACAGTTCCTCAGATATACAGATTTTTTACCAAATATTTACTGAATGTTTCTATATACACACACTAAGATTGGTTTTTGTTTCTACTACTTATTAAACCAAAATATCCCGACTTCAGGATATATCCTTAATACATTAACAGCTGCGATATTAGTAATTTACTGCAATAATACAGTTTGTACAGTATACAGATTTTTTAACTAACTAGATCAGTATTTTGTTTCTCACAGATATATTTTTCAATCGCCACAGTTGTTTTTGTATTTTTATAAATACCATAATATTACAATTAGCAGGAACATCGATTATGAGTCGATATTCTTGCTCTCACCTAAATATTAGTTGGAACAGACTGAGATGAACATATTTCTCCATTACAGGAACTTTGGCACTTTTTCTCTTACTTTTTCCGATGCTTGATTACGCAACTTTATACCCCAAAAAAAAGGAACGAAATTCATAACCAGCTTTTGCAAGTAAAAGCGGTATATTAAATGTGTAAATTATTGAATAGCTTACCCAGCATTGTAATTATGTAAATTCTCAGTACAGAGCATGTGTTGATTCGTGTATGTACTAAAGTATGATACTAAATTTAACGGTATGTAAATTATTGTCATATAACATTCCGTCAAATTACTCGATATAATTAACTAGGGCTTAAATCAGATATTGTACAAAAATTATATTATTCGTTTAGGCAAAAATATGGTATACGGTCAACAATGTACAAAAAAATAAATATTAACTTTCGGCTTTTATTCGACTAACCAACCGCTTTTCGATTAGAAAATCATCGGTTTTTTAAATTGATTTTGATTACGCAAACCAATAGACAAAAAATCACTTTGTTACTTTTAAAGATGAACATATTTGCAGTTTCTAATCTGAACAAACTTGCAAATTTTGTGATATTATTCGATAAAAAAAACTAACTCGTTATGTTCTAGACATAGATTAAGCACATTATAATTTGGTCACATCTATAGCAGGGTACAAATAAGTGCAAATGTTGCTAAACTTTAAAGTTAATCAATCGGAATCAATACAAAGTTTACGACACATCACTAGAGTATAACGATATTATATTCTTACGTTTTTTTAAGAGTTTCTGAACATCTCCCAAAGTTTTGTTCGATTTACGGGGTGAAGTCGAGACAAATCTTTTATTTGTTGATATTAGTAGAATGTTATGACTATTGTGTTTCCGCCTCACCCTGTACAAATAAAAGTAGGATAATATGTACATGAAAATGATTATTAAAATGTGATACAGCTGTCCTCCCGTGGGATAGCGTCATTTATTTCGTAGCCTCTAGGTGATTGTAGGAATGTATAAAAAGAGGTTGAAAATTTTCCTCAAATTTGAAACCTCTAATCATGTAGGATAACAAAAAATTATGTTACCACTGAACTTCTTAGCGTCTTTTCTTGTCTTAAAATCTAAAAACGTTATAATCTCAGTAACGGTTGTGCACAGTTTTATTATAGTTTTTCGCTTTTATTTATAGTAGATATGCAAGTTTTTAATTACTTTTTTAAATAGAATATTTACCACCTTATTCATTATGTCTCGTTATGTACTTTTCTTAATTTATTTCTTTCATATATGGGAAGCGTTCAAGTTAGATTTATATTCTTTTAGACAAACAATCGGTGCTGGTAAATTTAAGTTAAATTGTACATATGAAACACTAACACACACAAGACATTCCTACTGAAGTATTATTAGTTTTAGCTTAATATATTTTGCATTAGTTTTAAATAACTTTTCAGTTCCTGGTACAGCTTGTACTTTACTATTTATATTTATTGTTTATGTTTCTTATTTTAACGTAGTTGTTTCCTGTCGCAATTGATATGATAAAACATGGTTTCCATATTTTGATTATTATAGAAGGATTTTGCAAAAATGGACAATATTGATGGTGCATTTTTGACGTTGGAACACAATATACAAGGGATTATTGTTCGTATGAACACATACAAAATCATAATTTGAAGAGCTTTATGATATATAGATTTAGAACCTTCGACACTCACGATAAAAATGTTTGAAAAGCTAATATTGTTTTTATTTGATTCATTCAAATGCATTTTGTCTTTAAATAAGTACTTTTGTCTATATAGCCGTTTTGGATATCACACCAGGTATATAAATTATATCAGAGAGCTTGAAATCCTTGTATAATGTTTTCCAATGAAGAATGCATTTTTCTAAGCTTTGAGCTGTTACAATACCACTATGTGTTTAATAGATTTTATTACTGGAACGGTTTGTACTTAATGAACTGAGAATATAGAACCGGTACATGATTTTTTCAAATTTGCGTTAGTTTATAGTATTACTCGGTTATGTGTGTAAAAGAGTTTACATTAATAATAAATCTAAAATATTAAACTTTGCCAATTGAATTACTCCTACTTTACTTTTACTTCAGTTCTAAATAATAGAATAATACAGATAAACACACAAAAAATAATTTTCCTGTTTGATAATTATGAGATTTAAACAAAAATATTGAAATTTTTTTATTTGAATCATAACATGATGATTTGATTGAAAAAAGTTTACCATTGTTATTAATGCAAACTCTAACTTACCTCTGTTAAAAATTGTAAATTTGGACATTGTGTAAATTAAAATCCTGATTTCAGGATTCTTAGAAAAAGGAACGAACCCCTGGCATTAACTTGTAAAGAAATTAATGTTGAAATTTTTGTAAAATGGTACAATTTGTAAAAATCAGCGGTACATTAAGTAATTAGGTGAAAATTGGCACACCTCGTACGTTTTCTGTTAATTGGAGATAGTTTGAATTAATTATACAAGTTTAAAGTAAAAGAAAACAGGGTAAAAATTACAATATCCCATAGAGATACAGATATATTTACTTAATGAAGCTGAAAATGAGAACCGCAAATGTATATGTAGTACCTACATGACAAATATGTTAAATGAACTTTAAAAATCCACAAACAATTCAATAATATAAAAGTTTATACTTTATAAAGCACTGACAGAGATTACGTAATATATTTGTCACCCACAAAGCTTAAAAACATGATCAGTTTAATTTGTCCTTCATCTCGCCTTTGTACGAGGTGTATTTGGAAATATAATATTTGTGTGTTAGACACAAATTTAGGAATTATAATGTAAAATAATAAATTTTAGTTTAGGAGTATATACAAATACAGATATTTGATAATTAGGTAGGCTTAGTTTTTGATGATGTTAAAATAAAATTTAATAAAGCTTCGTGAGAATGACGTTTTTTTTTCAATTGCTCTTAATTTGTTGATTAACAACCACAATAAAAGTTGAATACAAAAAAATACAGTCTTCTGTTGTTTATGAAATTAGAAAAATGATCGTCGTTTCGTGCAAGGGTGGCGCAAGATTATTGCAAAATTTCATGTTTTCCGTCCCGTTTTGAATGTTTCTCGGAAGCAAAATGAGCAAGAACGCTCGTTTTTATATCATTCCAGAGATAACTAAATAGCCTTTATTCGAAGTTTCTCAAGAACCATTCGAGCCACAGAATTCGTTTTGGCATCGTTGGATAGAGAATTGAAAA